TTGTAACCACGAACATTTGTCTGACCTTAACTGTCAGACTGTAGATGATTTTGAAAATCCCGAAAACGGCAATAAGCGTAATTTATACGACTTTACAAACTTTGTTTTCATAATTTTTTTAAAACTTCTATTATGATACTTGGCATTCGCTCGCCTCGAGATACAGATATGGTATACCCAAGTTCCATTGACCTATATATCACCCATCACAGTGTGCAACTGGCTGTGTTTGCGCCTGAAACGCAAGAATTGGATTCTTTCCACGCCATATATAACTCTATATCATCCGTTTTATAAAAAAAAAAAAAAAAAAATTGAGATATTTTATAGTGCACTTCATAGATAACAATCTCTGGGAAACGTAAAGAGGAAAAAAATGAAGATTACATTAAAATCTGACCGACGTTAATATGCCATTGATACAATTAATTCTAATTAATTTTGTCCGAATCGATTAAGCAGAACGTTATGGTTTTTTAATATCCGCAGCGATTTCTGCGGAAGCAATCTTTGTCAATTTCGCGTCGACATCGATTTTCGATGCCATTAATGTTATCTCTCGACTCCGATTCGTCTGGTTGAACCTCGCGGAGGACGATATATCGTTACCGCGGACGATGGTTCCCCGTGACAGCAATTTGCTCTTCGAACGAATAAACCCGGAGGAAGGATATTGCTGGCCGACAGAGAACGGCGTTGGCGCGTAATGAAATTTATTGCACGCGAATAATAATGTCAATTCCCCTTAGCCGCTTTATATCGGAATAAATACAAGTAACGTCATGTAGAAACATAATTTTAATTACGGTATTAGCATCACGAGATGCAATCTAATCGATGATATAATCAATAGATGCGAGAGATCGATATCCGGCGCAGCGATTCGTGTGCGATATGTGTAACTTATGATGTGATTTGAATAAATATGTACACGACATTGCTTAACGTTGCGGTAAACGGAAATTCGATATAATATCACAGAGCGAAGTAGCAAACTTCGATTTAGCAAAATTATCCGTCACTTCTCGATGTAATTCCGACTTGTGCGACGACAAACCATGTTGGCGTTAATATTATGCATCGACGCGACGTCCCCGTGATCGACTTATCGACCGGCACAATAACCGGGCGAATATCGCGTCCGCGAATTTTCCACTCTATAAATTAACACGTGGAAAGCTCCGAAATAGCACTGTCGAATGCATTCGTTTTGTATCTAGATTGCTTGAAACCCTTTCAATTATACTTATTTTTGTCTTCTTTTTTATTTATGGTACACCAAACAAAGTAACAAGTTAATTAGATTCTAAAATTAGAATGAATATTTTAATACATGGGAGATATTTTTTAATATTTTTGGTAATAAATATGTATATAAAAGAATTTGTAAATAATATTTAGAACCCGTGAAAAAGTTATTATAGTATTGGGAATAAAAAGCAATTATCTTTCAACTAAATTCAATTAAACTTTTTTAATTAGATATCGTTTATGTACAGAAAAGTAACACAACGGAATAAAAGGACATATTTAATTTTTCTTTGAATAATCTTATATTTATAATTTTAATTTTATTTTTAAATATATTCTTTCCTTGTACTTTAACATGTCACGTCAAGTATTGTAATAACGAACAAGCATTTAGCTCAGAGCGTTATTAACGAGTTCAGAGACATACAATGAAAAACGAACTTAGCGAAGATTGCTGTTCTTACTTATTCGCAGTAGGTTAATTATTAGCGTAGACACTCGAGCACATTGTTCATTGCGAGAAACTTGATTTAAAAGTCTCAATGGCGTTCGAAAGTTCAGTCGATGCAGCGCTATTTAATAATACCTCGACGCAGTAGAGTTCATGGCGTATCCAATAGTGAAAAGCTTCTTTACAATATCCTTTTTATTATTTCGCGATATTAATGATACATTTCATATATTAATAATTACTTGGTCAATCTTCGCATACTTTATTTTTTTCTCGCAAAGTGATATAATTGCTAATATTAAAGCAAAATTATTTTAAAAGAGGACAGATGTGTCTGTGTGGTTTGTCATCGGTCAGAGGAACGATGCTAATTTCCCGAGAATTAAAATCCGCCTTCCCTCGGATGTGAATACCGCGAGGAGCATCTTCAAGACGTTTCCCCGTCCTCAGACCCTTCGAATACGCTCTTCTACAGAGCGATTTAGCGGAACGATTTAGCCGGCGAGATTGCTTTGCCTACTTGATTAAAATATCGGGGATTACGACCGTGTTTGTGGTAAAAGGGACTTTGCGGATGCACAGAGAGCCGCTGCTGACGGGGATAGATCTCTTTCCTTTTAAAGTTTGCAACGGGTCACGCTAATTAGAATACGATGAGAACGATAAAGTTCATAAGTCGTATATTGGCACGCTAACGCAAATAGCTGGAAAATTGCGAGGCCGTATCGCGAGATAAGTTTATAAGTGGCATTCGTATATGTATACTTACCTTTTCGACAGAAATCTAATTTAATAAAAACTATCGTACATATTGCAGAGCTAGATATTCTCTCAACATATATATGGAATATAAAAATAGATGCTATATCGATGAGAATAAATTATTGAACGCACGCAAACATAAAGTTTTGAAATATAAATTTACAAAAATTGATACGCATCTGTTATTGCAGAAGAATGCAAAATATGTTTTTTGTTCATTAAAAAAAATTTTTTTTTTTCATGGTTCATTTCACACGTGTATAACAAAAAATGATTAATCTATACCATCACATATACAAACATGAGAATAAAAATCTCTTTGTAGAAATTATTCACAAAATATATCTCGACGCGAGACGCAAAAATCGCTTCGTGAAATTCGCGCGGTCTTAATGCCATCGATTCCGGGCACGTTTACCGTCTACCCCCCGACGTGTCCTTGGCTCTATAACGACAAGATAGGTTAATGACCAGGCAAGTAGGAACCCGAAGAAAACACGAACCGCGCGAGAAATGCCGTGGAAGATCGATTTGTAGAGAGCTCTCTAGACGCCGAGAGAGAACGATCAGCAGAGAATCTCATTTTAGCCTGGGTCAAATTTGATCTCACGTTATCTCGAATACGCCGAGCGAATCGCAAACTGAATTTCCTCGGTTCAACGATGACCTGTAGCCCGCGGGGTTCCGGATCACGACTTCCGTTTGACCCTTTGAGTTCGCCGAGTTCACCACATTTGTATGCATTATACAGAAGATTATATAGAAGATGGCATAGAGAGAGAACTTCCTTTTGTATATTCCTGTTTACAAGAACTTACAAACATTAACTGTTGCCCTATTCTGAATCATTAAACGATTACGCGATAAACTAAGCATTTCAACGTGTATCGATAATTGACCGACAAGAGTTAAACCGCAATACTCGAAAGGGCGAAAATAAAACTATTCCAAGACAGGAGCGAAAGGATGAACGATGATAAGAATAAAAAGAAGTAGCGGTGAAAATTTAAAAAAAATGAACGATTACTTATAACCGATTATTTCTTTGTTATAAATTATTTTAATTTAAAATATGTATTAGAAATTAATCGATGGGGTTGAAAAAAATAAAGCTTCAAATATCGATTAATCAATAGCATATCGCCCATCTCTGGAGCAGACACGAGTTGATGGGCTTGAGAGGTAGGGTGAGACCGTCACGGGGGATGAACATATGAGAGAAATACTGAAAGGGGAAAGTTCGAGGTCATCGGAAGTACGAGAATTTCGCGCCGGAAGGGACAGAAGGAAAGAGGGCGGAAGAATGTTTTCCTTAGAAAATGTATCGAGTCGGTTTGAGGCTGTCAATGGAAATCGAAGAAAATATCTTTATGTGTATGTATATATGAATGTTCTTTTGTGTGTGTGTGTATATATCAGTTGTGTCGATACACGAAAAGCGGAAAGAGTACCTTTAGAGGAACGATGAATCATGAAACGTAGACGAACAGGACAAAGAGGCAGAGCTATCGGTTGTGGCATGACCGAGTATGTATCAGTCAGAAAGATGGTCGATACCATTAGGGTAGAAAATACATATAGGGTGTTTCAAAATTATTAAATGTTTTTTAATCACGTAATTATTAAAATAATTTTTTGGTTAAAATTCTATTGCATTTGAAATTGTGTAAAGAATATAATTTTCACGCAAATTTATTTTTTTCGCAAAGCATAGTTCGCTAAATTATATTACATTTTTAATCGTGAATTATTTGAAAATTAGTGGTAATAAGATACTATACCAAAAAACCCATATTATAAAGAATATAAATTTACTTTAGCAAATTTAAAACATTGGTAGAATTTATAAATTTTGCAAGAATCAACAATCATAAAATTCTAAAATACCGATGTTAATCGATACCGTTGGCTTAATCCACCGGTTGCAAAATTTCTGAAATATCAATATAATACAATGGTTTCTAAGCGTATATCGTTTAGAATATTTAAACGCTTGGTTTGCATACATTGCTTACAAATTGCATCAGGAGTGAATCCCAAGTTCCAAGTTCGTTAAGGCACCGACTCGAAAATCAAGAAATTTTAACGATCTGGAATGACGCTCGATTATTCATCGATTCAGCAATCAGTCTCGATCAGAATGACAATCACAGACTGACTCTGCAGGCGAATGTAAAGTACGCACGTTTCACTCTTTCAGTTTTTGAATCAGTGAAGATCAAACAGAGAGTACGAGAGAGCGAGTCAGTGAAAATTCGTACATATGTGTGTGTGTCGTGTGTGCATATGTGCGGATACATGTGTCGATGTGTGACAGAGAGAAAAGCAGAGAATGCATGGAAGAAAGGGATGCACGAGACATGTATGCGTCGAAAGAGAGGAACGAACGCGAGAGGAAGAGACAAGTAAGAGAGAAGGGAGCAAATAAAAGAGAGAAAGAGGAGGAAGGCTCCGGCGGGGGCCGCTCGTCCATGAACGGAGGACACTGATCACATCCCTCTCGGACTGATCGGCTCTCTTCCTTCCTGATTCGCAGGTATGTCTTCACGATAGTCAGCTACTTGATCGGCGTCTTCATATTCGCGACCATCGTCGGCCAGGTCGGCAACGTCATCACCAACAGGAATGCGAACCGTCTTGAGTTTGAGAGGCTCTTGGACGGCGCCAAGACTTACATGAGGCATCATAAGGTGCCGGGCGGTATGAAACGTCGGGTGCTCAGGTGGTACGACTATAGCTGGTCACGTGGCAGGATACAAGGCGGAGGTGACATCAACACCGCTCTCGGTCTGCTCCCGGATAAGCTCAAGACCGAGTTGGCGTTGCACGTGAATCTCTCGGTGCTGAAGAAGGTCACCATCTTTCAGGTGAGTCGTTTTTTTTCGATACTTTTCCCTAATGAATATATTCGACTCCTATATTCGTCCAAGTCGATTTGATCTCAGAAACGCTTCTGCCGTTACTTATCGAGGCAAACGCGTTGAAAAATATCAATAACCATATCGAAACTTACTTAAAACTTTTACAGATAGAATAATGTATAGGATGTTGCGAGAAGATACGGAAAATCAAAAGCAGGGTACATTACAATTCTCTTTTATTTCTTATAGTTGGCTTATTTGTGTTATTGTGATAACAGCAATATATCATACATTTGCGAGGAAAGATTGTATTTGAAAATACAAAACATTACTTTGTAGTTAAAGGGAGAGGAATATTCATGTTTATTTTCAAGATATGCTTTTGTTCCATTACTTTTAATTTTAAATGAGAATGTTTTTATTTCTACCTTGTTATCTGGTTACTTGTTTTACCTAATGATTGGATTTCTATCAACACTCTTCTTCCCTCTGGAAAAAATTTACATCGACCAGATATTTCTCTTGTCGTACAAGAGAACAAAACCGGAGGAAAAATGGAACGAGAAAGAGAGGAGAAGATGCGCATCGCGAATCGCAAAAAAATGAGAATAGAATTGGCTCAATAAGAGCGTAGAGATACGATCGCTGTGGACGGAATATTTTCTCGATTATGTTTATAGTTTTATCGATGGTAAACGGAAATATGAGTGAGAAGAGAAGAAGGTACAGAGATGGTTCGCGAAAATACCGATCCGATATTTTATTTGAAGGAGAACGCTTCTCTTGCGTGCCTGAATCTCCGTTAAAGAACGGACGCGCGAATTTTTAGAATCTTATTGTTCCAAAGTATAATTTACACGCATCGTTTGCTCCTATTTTTCAATAAACGGTTCTTCGTCGAATCTGCTATACTTTTTTTTTTTTTGCCAGAGAAACCGAAAAATGTAAGTTACAAATTAACAATTTTAATCAATATGGAACAAAACAAGCTTTCACGAGTTATGAAATAAAACGGATTTATCTGAAAGATGAAGCCAACGAATATTGGACAGTTTTAAATCTATTGAAGCGAGGAAAAATGCTAAAATAAAAAATATTGAAATAAAATTTTGTCATAAAATAAAAAATTAATATTTATATATATTCAGTTTCAAGGATGAATAAATGCTCTAATGCATTTTCACTTGTGTGCCTTTCATTTATTACGACAAATAAAAAAAAAAGTTTGTTCTGCTTTAAGTTCATATGATTCAACGTATTGGATCATTTGTTAATAAATGAGTGCAATTTGGGATAAAATACAACACGGTTTTTCATAAGAAATACGATCTCGAGGAAGATTACAGATCCGGGAATATGTGAATCTCTGTTAAGGGAGCGACTCTGTTAAAGCCGGACAAATATTTGAGCGAAAACGTTGGTTTATGTACCCTACGTCCGAAGGAAAACTTTTGAAGAAAATGCACGGGTGAGACTTTTTAAAGACTCGATGGCCATGTTTACGATACAGTCCAATTATCGCGAATCTTTCTCGTTTGTGTACATATTGTTTTTTTCTGATTATATATTTTAACTCTTTCAAGAAAGATGAGATAAAAAAAAAGATTCTCTAAAATTATCATTTATAAAAAAGACCATCGATTCGTAAAAGTAATGTTGGAGAATAATTTATGACAGTCAGTTCGATTCTCAGCGAGACAGTTTACGGACAAGACGGGTTAAGGACAAGAGCGTCTTCTTTGACGATCAGTTTGTACGTCGATCTCGGGGGACTTGGGTGAATCGAAAACTTTAATGTAAAGGAGATTTATCTGCGTAACTACTTAAGTTCCACTATCGAACGAGTGGCAGCTTCTGTCAGTAATCGGTAAGCTCGAGCAAGTCCCTTGTAAACGTAAACACTTTTTCTCCATTTCGAGGTCGAAAGTTTATAGTTCGATAAAAACGAAAAGAAAAATAATGCAGGTGCGGAGAAGTGCGCGTAAGAAGTATTTGGAAAGTTTGCCTGAGAGAATCTCTACGGATAAGATATGAAGCTACGGTGATCTGCTACGGTAGATTTCTCTTGATTATGGATCAAGTTTTTGCATAGCATTGAATTCTTACACGTTGCATCTTGTTCGCTAAATATAATATTGAAATCGCGAATCTTTTCATATCAAATAAATTTATTATATTTACACTCGCGTAAGAAAATTGCGCTTCCACGTAATATTTCAAGTACTTCAATGTATCATAAAACTTTATCGTAAAATCTATATTTTTTTTATAAAACTTGTGTAAAACGACAACGGAAAGAGGAATGTAAAAAGCGTGAAAGATACAGGAGATAGATCTTAAAAAGTTAAGTCGCCGGAAGGTAAATAGAGCGCACGTGATAAACCGATATAAAGAAAAGTGCTGTTGCGGAGGCTTCTCGAGAACTCTTGGCGAGAAAGAAATCGAGAAAAATTGCGACAAACCATGTATCTCTCATCCGAGAAATTTCAACTACATTCGGTGGTGTGGAAACTCCACGAGATATCTGATAGATAATCTATTGTTAATTAGGACTACGCAACTTGGTGTTGAATCTCTCTTCTTCTCATATAATCAAAGAGTAAAAGTAATTAAAGTTGTCGAACACGGT